GAGGAGTGGACTAGGAGGGCATGAGAGAGACGTGAGTCGAGCCCGGGGGGGTCGGTGGGGAGGGGGGGGGGGGGGGGAAGGTATCCCCAAAAAAATTTTGTGCTGCTTGACTTACCTCCCATTTTGGATACTGGTGTGGCAGGAGTGGAGTGTAGTGGGTGCCTGGAATGACTACCAAGCAACCATTTTTCTTGTCCACTTTCTCCATTGCTGTCCAAGAACACACCATCCGATTGGCTGGACGGAAAGGAAAATAATGCAAATCCTGATGCAAAGGATGACGAGATGTCAGAGTACCAGGATCAGGCGGTTTGTTTATTAGCATGCTGTGCACAGATTTGATGTCTGGACCAGTAAAACACGCCACGTACTTTAAAATCTGAGGCAGCTCACAGTAGCTGAAAAGGACCTCATCCTGTTCGAAATTTTGAAGTTTATTTACGGTTCTCTCGCCACGTGAACGGTTAGCTTTCGCGTAGCTGACATCCCTCATCACTGTTATAGCGGGTACTTTGACAACACCATTACATATTTGCCTAAAACGATCGTAATACTTGTTTAACAGCTCTTGAGGTACAAGATTCCGCACGACAAGGTAGCCATTTGTGTTATAGAAATCGACTTGTTCCTCGGTCAGAAGATCATTTTGTAGAACTAAACGTTCGGTATCGAGCTCTTTTGCATCTGTAAATGATATTTCTGGAAGTACAGAATGTAATCTAGAAGAGCTAAGGTGGTCAGAAATCACTGCCAACCTCTTCTTCGCACGGGCGGCCATTTTGTTGTTTGTCGAATGACCGATGTGCATCATGGGAAAACAGGGGCACCTCCCCCAACCCTCCCATTCCCTCAGTCCCAGTCTGTGCGCGACCGGCTCATCGGCGGGTGAAGAACATTTTCCATTGATCCTTTCGTAAAAGAGAGAATATTTGCAGTCTAGTCTCTCGGCAAAATTCAAGATGGCAGCAGGGATATAAATGAAAATCGGTTTCGTGTTTATATCTTGCAAAGTTTATTTTTACGTAGTAAAATCGGCCAGCACGGATATATCCTGGAATTGGTGATTTTTTGTGAAAACTCTATGGTATACATGTTTCCCCCAGAAAAGTTTCCAACAGAAAAACAGGACTATCTTTTCAAAGTTTCACTTTTTGCTCGAATAGACCCTTCCACAGTAGCCCATTTGATGGGCTCCTGCCCTTCCATGGTTTTTTTCAGCTTGTGATATGGACCAGTCAGGGAAAATCCGTCGACAACATTAGTACTGGAAAGGCTAGAGTGCCTAAAAATAAGTATAATTACTAAATTTGAAAGTGAAATTTGAGGTGAAGATAAAGCTCCGCAATTTTGCGAAAATTTACAGACGTTCGTATAGTGGGGGGTGGGGGGCAATTCCCCCCACCCCCTCTTCCCCAAACATACAATTCCAAACGTCTGTAAAATCTTCGTTAGTTTTCAACAAATTGTACTTTCAAACTTGGCAGTTTTACTAATTTTAAGGCGCTCTTTCTAGTGGTGTCGACGGATTCATGTCAAACGTTTAAAAAAAAAGGGACGGGTGTATTTTCCAAGGGAGCGCCCGAATTAGATCCCAATCGCAAACTCAACTCATTTATTAAAGCAGTAATGCCAGTGTCATAGTGTTATAGTTACACAGAAACAGACCGAGAGCTCACTAGAGGTCTTTTGAAGATCTGAGGTTATTAAATGTGCTTTAACACTACATTTTCACGTAAGCAGGAAACGGTAAATGACCNAGAGAGAATATTTGCAGTCTAGTCTCTCGGCAAAATTCAAGATGGCAGCAGGGATATAAATGAAAATCGGTTTCGTGTTTATATCTTGCAAAGTTTATTTTTACGTAGTAAAATCGGCCAGCACGGATATATCCTGGAATTGGTGATTTTTTGTGAAAACTCTATGGTATACATGTTTCCCCCAGAAAAGTTTCCAACAGAAAAACAGGACTATCTTTTCAAAGTTTCACTTTTTGCTCGAATAGACCCTTCCACAGTAGCCCATTTGATGGGCTCCTGCCCTTCCATGGTTTTTTTCAGCTTGTGATATGGACCAGTCAGGGAAAATCCGTCGACAACATTAGTACTGGAAAGGCTAGAGTGCCTAAAAATAAGTATAATTACTAAATTTGAAAGTGAAATTTGAGGTGAAGATAAAGCTCCGCAATTTTGCGAAAATTTACAGACGTTCGTATAGTGGGGGGTGGGGGGCAATTCCCCCCACCCCCTCTTCCCCAAACATACAATTCCAAACGTCTGTAAAATCTTCGTTAGTTTTCAACAAATTGTACTTTCAAACTTGGCAGTTTTACTAATTTTAAGGCGCTCTTTCTAGTGGTGTCGACGGATTCATGTCAAACGTTTAAAAAAAAAGGGACGGGTGTATTTTCCAAGGGAGCGCCCGAATTAGATCCCAATCGCAAACTCAACTCATTTATTAAAGCAGTAATGCCAGTGTCATAGTGTTATAGTTACACAGAAACAGACCGAGAGCTCACTAGAGGTCTTTTGAAGATCTGAGGTTATTAAATGTGCTTTAACACTACATTTTCACGTAAGCAGGAAACGGTAAATGACCCTAACTCGTGCATTTTCACTTATTCCGCTCCGCTCATTACTCCTCATTCTTGGCCAAAAGACACCCAGGCTAGAGTTCTTCGCAGTTTTCGGGTTTACTGATGTCTAGGTTTAGCTTCTCCGTCATAGTCAATGTCTCACTGACATCCGTACAAAAAGGCTGATTTGACGATGTTGCTGTTAAAACTCCTTTCACTTGGGTTCCCGCAGATAAAAAGGAGTGTTGCTAAGATCAGGTTCGTTGGCCGCGTAGAATTCCGTCATTACGGTTCTCCAAATCACTCTCTGAAGGAGAAGCTGCGATGGCCGAGTGGTTAAGGCGTTGGACTTGAAATCCAATGCGGTCTCCCCGCGCAGGATCAAATCCTGCTCGCAGCGGCTATATTTTTTTGGAACTTTTTTACGTACACTGTAGCAAGAAACAATGCATTGGACTTTGCTGGCATCAGAAACGGGACAAAAGGCAAACAAGGCCTTGGGGCAAGAAAATCAAAAAGACTTATACATCATTCAAAATATCCTTTCCAGTTTCAAAGTCCCACTGCGTTTTATTCCAGCAGAGTGATTCTGCATCATGTGACCGTTTCTGTAAACGACGTCCATTGTTCTTTTCCCCTCATATACGACACAGTCACCTGGGTGAAACCATTACAGGCGCCTTTCCCTGCCATCTTAACTTGGCCTGCACCTTATTATTAGCTTATTATTAATCAAGGATTTTCAACCATAAATTACGTATTTTGAGTTTTTTTTTTGGCTATTTTCATGTTAAAAGCGAACGTGCTTGTGGACCGATAACACATCAAGTGCAATTCTAGTCTCAGGTTTCACTTGAGTGAAACATCGGTTAAGATATTAGAGTCAGTAAACGCTTCACCCGACGCTGCGATGGCCGAGTGGTTAAGGCGTTGGACTCGAAATCCAATGGGATCTCCCCGCGCAGGTTCGAATCCTGCTCGCAGCGTAACTTTCTTTTTGCTGATAGCTTTAGCCAGATTAAGTGATTAGATCTAACATGGAATATTTAAAAAAGGCCTCAATATTAATTATCAAACTGCCTGCGTGCGTTCAGCGCAAGTTTAATTATCATGTAACTACTTATTTTCCAGAAGAATTTCCTTTATATTTTTTATTCTATTTTCTTATTTTCAGGCCATTTGTCAGTTTTGAGGTTCCAGAATGATTAGTGGAGGTGTCTGGGTTCAAGGTTCCCTAACAGTGGCTGGTCATCGAGGCTAACGATGATGGGAGCTCATAAACAGCAAAGACCACCGCAACATAGGTGTGTCCTCATGGCTATACAGTGACTCGACGTTCGTCGATCAAGAAGCTAATAATTTTTTTTTTTCGTTTTCCTGCTATACTTCTAGGCCTGATAAACTATATATAAATTCCCATCCCCCATTCACATTAAAAGATTTCTTTTGCCATTTTCCAACTTTTAATATGATCTTCCTTCTTTATTTCTCTGAGAGTATAGCAACAAACGCGTTTGCCCGTTTGCATTTAGTTTTTTAGGATTTTCTTCACGCTATGCACATTAGGAACGTTGCTAAGTGAGGGTAGGTTACCTTAAATCATTTAGAGTTACTTTAATCGCTTATAGGTGCTGCGATGGCCGAGTGGTTAAGGCGTTGGACTTGAAATCCAATGGGGTTCCCCCGCGCAGGTTCGAATCCTGCTCGCAGCGGTAATCATTTTTATTACACTTACATTTTTAACATAAAAAGTAAATGAAACATGGCAATTTGATGTATGTAAAACGAATCAAATAGTAGTTGGCGCACAGCACATAATGTCTGCGTACAAAAGTTTTTCCTTCGTTTCGCCTCGATGCTGTTCTCCCCGCGAGGTGGGGGGCCGGAGTCGGAGAAGTTTTTAAACCCTTTAACCCCAAGATCCACATGCAAATTCCTCAGACTTAGATCCATACATTTCTTTTAAAAATATTTGAGAGAATTTGGTTTAAGATCAAAGTAGTCTCCCTTTGGTAATCAATTTAGTAATTCAGTTTGAGTAGAGTTGTGTTTCCGAAGACTGAAAATATTATTTGATTATTCGACAAGCTCAAAATAAAAAGAAAGGGTATCTTAATTCAACGTTTTACGTTTTATTACTGAATGACTTCAGACTTGCGTTTCCGCCCTTTCATTGGCTGCTGTTATTGCCAATACTTAACAGCATAGTTACGGTTCCTAAGTTAGGTTTGTTTTCAATTGAACGAGCTATTTTAAAAGATGGGCGAAATGCTTCGAACAGTATTATTATGGAACATAAAAAGAGACACGAAGAACATGAAGTTTCCGTGTGTTTAATTCCTACTACAGTGAAACCTGTATTAAGCGGACAGTAGCCGAAGTCCCCAAATTTATTTCCCTTATTTACTTTAAATGAAACCTTTATTAAGCGGACACCTCTATTAAGCGGACGCGGACACCTAAAAAGTACCTAAAAAGGGCCATTTCTATTGTTGCCAACCTGTATTAAACGGACACTTGTAATCAAATTCCACCACCCAACATGCCAGACACCGGAAATACGAAAGATTGCCTCGAGTTGCCACTCACAAATTTTTCGATTTTTACATTAAAAACGGATCAAAACGTGACTTGACGAACTTATTTGATTAGTTTCACAGTACAGGATTGTTTTCTATTTCGTTTTGTTTGTGTAGAGCTTGTTTCACTCATCTGATTTCTTCAAATTTGAGTTGCAATCCATGTTTATGGTACTATGATCAATCGGTTCACTTTGATAAAGAAATTAATGCAAACGTCTATCGTCATAGTCTCTGGGAGTATTATAAACGCTTCCACTGTTCATTTGAATGGCATTTGACACCTCATATGACGTTATATATCGAAACCTGTATTAGGCGGACACCCTGTATTACGCGGACA